GTCTGGGTCTTGATTTTTTCCTCGGTAAAATGAGTAAGTCAGAGAGTTTTTGTAATTACTGGTATAAAAACAAATAAACTATAAAGGAAGATGCAAGTTGTGATGAGAAATACACTGCTGGATTCTGAAATGAGGACAATCTGTGGAGAGAGATCAGGGAACAATGACATTACTGACTTTATAACTCTTGCTCATGATTGTTTGCCTGAGTAACAGTGCTGCAATCCTGCGAATGACTGAGACCAGGGACTCTATCCTGATTACCCTTTAATCACTGAAGGGCTACAATGTTTGAATACTTGGGTGCCATCTAACTGGGTTGATCAGGGGTGGGACCAGGTGACCGTGTTTTTGAAAGCATGTCAGGTATTGTCTAATGTGCAGCCAGGGCCGTGGAATGGTGAATTAGATTGAGGAGAAGTGTAACCTAATAAGAAGGACTGGATTTTAAGTCATGGGCCATGAGTTTGGGCTTAAGATTTGTCACTATATTGACTGGTAAATTAAAAACAAAAACAAACAAAAAATCCAAACGCCACGGAGATTACAAAAGCATTTTCCATTTCTGTTTCTGATGATTTAATGCCAAAACAACTGGTTGTTATCAATTCAGGCAACCTGGTAGTGGTACGAGGAAACCAGAAATTCATTTAAGATTCAAAAACTGGAAGGATCCATTTTTACTGCACTGAAGTTCATTTTGGTTGATTTAGTCTTAAAATACTTGCTTTTATTGGCCTGGATAAATTTTTCCACTGGAGTAGTACCCAGTATATGGTGTTGGTTTTTGGATAACTAAATAAATAAGTGTAATAATCACCTGTTCTAAAATCATACACATTGGCTTTGCTTGTTTCCTATGTGTGTGTGTGTGTGTATACACACACACTAATACACACACACAAATACACACACACATGCACACACATATACCCATTATATTGCAAATATGAAGTTACTTCTTGCTCTTCTGACAAGCCGTGAAGTCTTTGCTACAGAGTTCTGAAGATCTAGTCCCCTGGACATATTATAACAGAAGTGGATGTTGAAGGTGATGGGGCTCAGCCTCTGATAACCTTTAAGGTCTCTTTGAACCCAAAACTTCTGGAACATGAAGATATATAAAGAGCCTCAGGCCTTCCATCCTCTTCCCAGGTTTTGAACACATGAACAAGGTTCTAATAGTGTTGACCATTGGTTCTAATAATCTTTTCCTTTGGGATCACAAGATCCAGTGCTACTATTTTGAAGGATTTTGAAGGACTCTGAAGTTTCTCTATATTTGGGAAAGCTTTATAAATTTGTCTACCTTTTCAAATCATGGGCTTTAAAATTAAATGTTGGAGGTAGACCAGATTTCTAGAGCTCTAAAAGCTGCTGCACATGGGGCTTGCAAATGCACTTTCACTAGTCCAGACTGAATATTTGTAAAACCATTTTCTGAGGTGAAGATGTTACAGAAGGAAGTAAATAACAATGTGGCTTTGATACAGCCGACCTTGGGTCAAAGACACAAACTGGTGGCCAGTGATTATTTGGAGAGCAGTTGTGTTTTGTGCATGCCACACTATATATTGAAAAGACTGAACAGTCATCAACATTTAAAAATCAGTTAACGTACATAGCAAGATTTCTGCTTCTCCTGAAAATTCAGAACATCTACCTACACTAGACTCACATTTCCTTATGGCAATAAAGGACAGAATCAGACGGCATTGGGGCCCTTCTAATGTGACATAGCTCCAGAATATCCTTCTTGGCCCTTCTCTCATTGTGGCCCTCTGCCTGGCCTCTGGAGCTGTTTTGAGTGTCCTCTGCAGACATGACTGTGCTTTAGGAGGAGTATGCACTGGCATCCAGTGTGACCAGCACCCTCTTTGTCATTTGTACCTTGAACACAGGGAAAGTGTGTCCTGTTCCCAGCCGTATACTCTGCCACAGTTTTTCCCCCATAGTACAACTCAATATGGCCAATGTCTTCTTCCTACATTTAATGCCTACTGCATCTTGGGATTTTCTCTTTTCTATTCCCCAAATCTGAATACTGTTTATTTTTAGTAAAAAGTGTTGTTGTTGTGAATAATTGCTCTTGGACAACATTGCAAATTGTTGCTCTTCTGGTTCAATGGTTTTCTAGGGCTCCTATAGCAAAGTACTACTAACTGGATGGCTAAAATAACAAAAATTAATTCTCTTACAGTTTTGAGGCCAGAAGTCCAGACTTTAGGTGTCAGCAGCAGTGGTTCTGTCTGGAAATTCTGAGGGAAATTTAGTTCATTGCCTTTCTCTTAGCTCCTGGTGGTTTCTGGTAATCTTTAACATTTCTTGGCTTTGACATTCCTCTGTTTCCCTCCTCCCATGGGTCTTTTCACGCCTGGGTCTCTGGTCTCCTCATTGGATACCATTCATATTGGATTAAGGACTACCATAATGATCTCATATTGATTATATCTGAAAATATCCCATTTCCAAATAAGTTCCTATTCACAGACACAGGTGATTAGGACTTGAACATTTCTTTAGGGGACACATTGAATCCACAAACAAACAAACAAACAAACTAGGTCAATTGGTCACATAACCACAGGCCCAATACCTCCTGCAAATTGCCCTTCATTTGTCCACACTGGTCTCCCAACGCCCTACCAGGCAGATCTGGAAATTTCTCCTTGCTTATTCTGCTCCCTCCATGGAAAATCTCATTCATGTCGCTATTAGGTGATGAAATAAGTGCACAGTAGGAATGCTCAACCACATTAATGCTCTAAAGTTTTCTCCTTTTTGTCTAATTAAGGGTATCTTCTGAATCGTAAGAATAATGCATAAAATTTGAACATTACATAAAAATTTCAGAGTTTGAATTAGACCACTGAGAAACAACTTTGCATTTGGTTCATTTTCTTCCAGCTTTTATTCTTTTCACTTTAAAAGGAAAAATTGTGTAATTTTGTATCTTTACACTTAACAAGTATTTTTCCATGTAGACTACTTTACTATGTAATAATGTTAATTTTAAAAATTTATTGTTTTCTATATACCAAGTATACTCTATAAACACTTTATTTTATTTTTAAAAAAACATTTATTTTTTAGTTGTAGTTGAACACAATACCTTTATTTTATTTATTTTTGTGTGGTGCTGAGGATCAAACCCAGGGCCTTGCACATGCTAGGTGAGTACTCTACCACTGAGCCACAACCCAGCTGCTCTGTAAACACTTTGTTACATTATCTAATATGTTCCTTATAGTATTCCTAAAAGGTAAATATGATTATGCCATTTTATGAACGAGGAGGGTAAAACTAAGAACAGTTTCCCCTTAGGCTACACAGCTGTAATTTGTAGAATTCAGGATTCAAATCTAGTTCACCAAACTCCAGAACTTGCACTTATCTTAGAGACCAGCCAGGATTCATTTTTTGTTTACATGGAAGAGGCAATCTCAAAAAGATTTCAATTTGATAATAAAGGCAAATAAATCTTATCTCCTCTCCTCAACTTCACAACACTCCTCACTCCCAAAGAGACCTCAGTGCTTTCAAATTCTAAGTCTATATTCTCTCTCCCCCTTCTCTCTCTCTCTCTCTTTCACACACACACACACACACACACACACACACACCCCACACACACCCCCTTATTCCACCCAGCTATACAATCCAGAGAACTCTTCTCCCCTCTTTCCCTCTTTCTGCCTGTCTCTTCCCTCCACAACCAACCCGTTACCAATTGGCTAAGAAGCCAGTGTTGGTTCTTAGCTACCTCTTTAAGCTCTCTTTTTTCCTATGTCTTCCAGACACCATCCTCTGTGACAGGGAAACCTGGCATTGCATCGGTTCTGTTTGTTAGTATCTTTGACTGTTGGGAATTCTTACTCATGAAGATTTTCTACCAAAGAATGAGTAGTGTAGCCGCAGGTGGTCTGCATTGCCACAGCAGCTATCAGTTTCTTAACGGAAGTAATCAGGGTGAAGGAACTCACCTCAGTTGCTGGATAAGAATTAAAAGTGGGAGGCAGAGTTTGTCACTGGCTTCTTCACAATATTCTAGACATAGAATATAGCTGCAATATAGCTCAAACTCAGCAGTTTTAAGCAATAAGCCTGGTTTTGGTCTTCTGAAGGGCATCCAGCAGAGTGTCTTGAGAATCAGGACTGGGCTACGAGGTGGAGGGATCTAAATTCAAGTTCCAAATCTGCTAATTAATATTTGTGTCACCTTGGACCAGATACTTGTTCTAAGTCTATGTTGGGTTATTTTAATAAATGATCACAAGCAGAGTGGCCTGAAACAGGAGAATATATTCTTTTAATTCTGGAGGCCAGAAGACTGAAACACAAGGTGTTGGTATGGTTGTGTGTCCCCCCTGAGCTTCCAGGAGAGGAGTCTTCTTGTAGCATCTGGTAACCCAAGTGTTCCTTGACTTTGGGCAGCACATCTCCAGTCTGCGCCTCTGTTTTCGCTTGGCTTCTTCCCATGTGTCCGTGTCTTTACGTGTGTGTGTGTGTGTGTGTGTGAGTTTTCTCATGAGGATAAGAAAGGTGAGCTCTAATCCAGTATGAACTTGTCTTAGCCTGATTCCTTCTTCAAAGGCCTTCTTCCTAGACAAGGTCATATGCACAGGTACTGCAGGTTACAACTTCAACAGGTCTCTTAGGGGAGACACAATTCAACTCATAAGCCTTAAATCAGCTCCCTGACTTGTAAAATGGAGATTATTATCTCTGCTAGCTATGGCTTTTGTGAGGACTAGATGATAAGCACGGGCAGGATCTCACGTGGTGCCTGCAATATAGCACAAACTCAGCAAAAGCATTCTCCACCCTTTACCACCTTCTTCATACCTCCTCTTTTTCTCCCATGCAAGTACCTTGGTCTCTGTCTTGGTCATTTCTATTTGCTCATGGTAGAAGCATCAAACAAACAAACCAACAAAAATCCACATGGACCGCATTTCATCCTTTCTGAAAGTGATAATGAAGTGCATTCTTTCAAACTAATGTATTTACCTTTTGCAATATTTTCAGAAAGAACTCAGAGTCCAGTGACAGGTGAACGACTGCTTCATAATCGCCAGTCCATCATCCCCAGGTCTTCTGTGAGCACAGATTCTTTTGAAGAAGAAAACCGCCAAGAAGCCTGTTCTTCTTCTGCATCATCTGGTGAAAGGGATGAGGATTCACTGAGTTTGACGCTCCGAGGAGAGAACGCTCAAAAGATAGTCAGCAAAACCTCCAAGCAGGCCTGGAGCATCCCATTTTTCGCACCAAAAATGGCAAATAAACCCAGTCTACCACACTCAGAACATCCTGTGTACTTGGAGGCTACAAGTAGACACACGAGACTTCAAAACCAGTTTTTGAGCGATTCCAAGGGAAATTCTCGTATCACCTGGTTCCTAGCTTTTCTTTTCTTATTGCAACCTATCACGTTTTGATTTCAATATAAACAAAAAAATGTATTGAACCACTGGCAGGTCAAATCTTAGAAGGTACAATAAGAACTGTACGAGAAAGTCCTTAGAGTCTACTTTTCGGGGAGGGTACCAGGGATTGAACTCAGAGGCACTTAACCACTGAGCCACATCCTCAGCCCTATTTATATTTTATTTAGAGACAGGGTCTCACTGAGTTGCTTAACATCTCACTTTTGCTGAGACTAGCTTTGAACTTGCGATCCTCCTGCCTCAGCCTCCTGAGCCACTGGCATTACAGGTGTGTGCCACCGCACCCGGCATCGAGAGTCTACTTTTTGTCAATTATTGAATTGGAGGAGAGTACATGATGGAACTGATGACAGGTAATTTGATGGTTCAGGTGTTGTACCAGATAATAATGACAGTTATTATCATCATCCCAGCCCAATTTATTTAGTTCTAATCATAGATTAGGCTCTCTGCTGAACATTTTACATTATTTTTTGAAATCCTCATATAACACTTAGGTGGATAATAATGTTATTATTCCTGTTTTACAGTTAAGGAAGCCATGAATTCATAGTGTAAGGTAATGGGTATGATAATAAAGTGCCTGGAAATAATATGACATAGTAGGAGAAATCATTAAAAGTAAGGAAATGGACGAGAAGGAAAGGGGTTTGAAACAGGAAGATCTTGGGCCCAGTCTCAGATGTCTCCCATTTCAGTTCTGTAGCCATAACAAAGTCCCACCTGTGTTCTTTAGATGCTTTTTTTTTCTTTCTTTTTTTCATCTGTAAACTAGTGACAATTACTACTTTGAAAAGCTATTGTAATTAGAGGATTGATATAGATGAAGTTCCCTGAACATAGTAGGGATTGAATGGTGGTGGTGATGATGGTAGCGTTTCTGATACCTGAGGAGAAACAAAAAGAAAGTAAACTATGCCTCTCTCCAAATATCTAGGAACTTTCAAGTAGAAGGATTAGGCTGATATTGTGTAGTCTATTTTGTTTTAAAGGAAAATTTGAGGTAGATTTCACTTCAAATATTTGCACAGTTTGTTGTATTTGACTCAAAGAAGAGAGGGACAAATTTTGACTTAATTTCAAGGGAGAAAGATGCTCGTTGATGAACATTTTTTTTGAGTCTTACTATGTACAAGGCAAAGTACTAAAATATGACTGTACATTTTCATTTTTGGTCTATATGATCCTCCTCTTAGATAAGAACTGTTATTTTCTCTTGTTATGATACAGAATCTGAGACCTATACAGGTTCTGTAATTTCAGGGGTAAAGTAGAATTTAAGCCTTTCACTCCAACTGTGGGTCCGAGTATCCCTATATTAAGGTTCTAAATAGAACAGCAATGTTTTTTTTGGTATGGAGTTCTTATCATGTACTTAATGCTTAACATTTTATCATGTTCTTTTCTCAGTTACCTAAGTAGTCTTGTTTTTCATTTTTTAAAAAAATCTTTAATGAGATATTAGCTACTTAGGTATTTTCTTATCTTGTCTTGCTTTGCTTTTCTTCACAGTTTTATTACCAGTGAACACTTACAAATTTGTTTATTTACTTATTTATGAGTCCTTTTCCCTCTTCAGGGATCTTGTCTGCCTTATTTCCTTCTGAATCACTAATGTGACTATATTACTGCCAGGCACATATCAAGCATTCAAATATTAATAAATTAATAAGTGAATGGACAAATATAGGAGGATCATATAGACCAAAAGTGAATTAGGTAACGTGATCTCTATGTTTTGTGTAAGGACAGAGGTGCTTAAGCCAGGTGATATGCCAGGATTGACTCTGATCGCAGATCCTTGTTTATTCATTAAACCACACTCTCCTTCTAAGACAGTTTATTGCAAAATGCATCTTTCCCGAAGTGCTTTGAAGGAAGGAAGTTCTATCCTTGACTTAAGACAGAAGACAGCATATTCAGTCATGTTCTCTTGCTCCAAATTCCAGAGCCTATCCGTATTCTCTTGTGGATTCTTCTTGCCCTGAATATTGATACAGTGAAAGGACCATCTACGAAGACTGGATATTCAAATAAATAGTTAATAACTTTTTACAATGAGTTTGAAAGTGTTTGTCCCTCTGGAGATGTTGGAATGCTATTTCATTGTATTTTTAGGAAATATTTCTCACTTTAGACAAATCAGATTCACTAATTTCCACCCCCACCACCACCACCACATTTGACTGGGTATGTTGAGTGTACTCAATGCATATCAGGTATAGAACAATGTATAATAAACTACATTGAATTACTTAGGAATATGCTGGCTGTTTGACATCCATGGTTAGGAAGATATTGTGCATTTCAAATTTTTAACATGTTTCTTGAATTTGCAAATAATCTTGTGGGTTGTTCAAATATTCTAGACATCTACATAGCATTCAAAGTCCTTTAAAAACTAATAAGCGATTTAAGGCATGTGAATTATTAAAACATAACTGAAAAATCAGGCTTTAATTTTTTTGTGGAAGTCAAAGGCAGAATTTCTCAAAAACTTCAAAATTATATTCACACATACATAAAAATGCAGGTGGAATTATATACATATGTATGTATATGTGTCTATGTATATATATTCCTTTGCTTGGAACAAAATCAAAGTTGCAATTATTACTGTTAGTATGTACATGTGTGTTGTGTAATAGCTTCAGGTTAATCCACTGTTTAATTTTCAGCTGTTTATAATTTCTAATAAAATCCACGAAGTAACTTCCTTTTGGATCTTTAAAAATCATCAGTCGTCAGCCTACATGGGCCACACACCCTTTTATGTTTTGCACGATATCTGACTACAACATAATCCTTTCCCATTCTTCAACTTTTCCCAAATTTAGAAGTGGATGCTCTATTTTAGTCACCAATCCCCCCCACACACACATACATCTTAGAAATTTTCAAAATTTTACCTTGAAATGAAAGATTTTCTGATAAATGTGTAAAAATTATTTTGGAGCGGGGGAGGCGCTTTCAAGCAACAGGAAAGAATAGACAATATTTTTGATTTTTGCCTTTTTTTTTTTTTGCTTTTGCTTTTCGTTTTTTCTTAAAGAAACGTGTGTGTGTTGAGGGGGGCGGGATAGGCACTTGAAGGTAACCTTAGGGGATTTTCCTTTCTCTCTGCATCACAAACGTCCATTCCTAAATGTCCTCTTAGCAGGAGTTTCTGCTGGACCTGGGGGCTGGCGCGCTGCGGTCCCTCCACTCCTGCCCTCCTTTGCCTTCCAGGTCCCCCGGGGAGGCCTTCTACCGCCATCGGCCGTGCAGGACCAGGAGCCGCTCCGCCCCTCCGAGCGCCGGGTGGAGTCCCTGGGAACCCAGGCTGGAGGAGAGGGCGGCGGTGACACTAGACTTCACGGCACACCCAGATTCCCCCAAAGGGCTCCCAGGGGCTCCCGGAAATGCAGTCTGCAGAGGCGCGGTTGCCATGGTAGCGGAGATGCTCCCCAAGCATCCTCGTGTCCCGGAGGAGAGGAGGCTGCGGGCGGAGGCCTCCCTCTCCTCCCTCTCGGGCAATCTGGCAGAGGAGCCCCTTCCTGGGCCCGCGGGCGCTTCCACCCATTTCCACTCCAAGAGGTTAATAAAGGTCTGCACCGCGGCACCCCCCCGCCCGCCCCAGCCTTTCCATACGGCTTGTTCACAGGCTTTCCCGAGGCCGGTGGTGAATGCTCACTTACGCTGACCGCTGCGAGGGAATTGTTCCGCGACCGCTGCCCATCTTCAAGTCAATGCCTGCCAGGAACAACAGAAAGGGCCTCAGATGCACTGGTTTCCACAGAACCATTGTTAGGCTTTTGTGAAGCATTTTTGAACCTAATAAATAATGTCAAAAGTCTCTATCGCCGCCAAAAATGTTCCTTTTGAAGCATTTCTAATAGTATTTTTGTTCTGCAGTGTCTCCCAGTGTTACAAAGAATTTGTGCCGCACAATAGGGATGGGGTACACCGCGTGCCACTTTGCAACGTGCCTACCGGGACTGCAAGGGTCCACCTCTCTGTCTGTCTTTTGCAGGTAACCGGTCTCACTTGCCAACTTCGGCTCTGGTGGAAGGATGCTTTCCAAGGGCCTTTAGCATCTCTAAACAGAGGGTTGAAAAACATAATTGAATGTCTGTAATGTAATAGCTCACATGAAATTTGATTATTCCTGATGAGCCTAAGGGAGATTCTTCAGGCGATATTCAGGTTTTTATGGTAGAAACCTGATGCTGATTTGGGGCCTGGGAAGTAAGTTGATGTGTGTGTGTGTGTGTGTGTGTGTGTTTGTACACATCTTTGTATTTTTAAAAAGTAACACAATGGGGCTGGGATTGTGGCTCAGTGGTAGAGCGCTCGCCTAGCACATTCGAGGCCTGGGTTCAAACCTCAACACCACATAAAAGTAAACAAATAAAATAAAGATATTGTGTCCAACTACAACTAAAAAATAAATAAAAAATAAAAAGTAACACATATCAGTATCTAGCAGCCCAACTGTCCTGTAGAACACACCTGAGAAAATGGCTGAGAGAACATTGTTCAAAAGTCTATTCTGAACATACCAAGTCTGCGAACACCTGTGGGTTTAACTTAAGAATTTGTTATAAAATAAGTAAGGAAAGAATCAGAACTCAGAAAGAAGCCCTTCAAGATCCCATTCTTCCTAGAAGTGAAATGAGCTGCCCCAGGTGGTTGTTCTTATTCTGGGGGCTTGTGGCTGAGAGGAGGTCAGCTGGTCCTGCCCTGCCCATCAGTCCTGTCCATGCTGAGACAGTGATGCCCTGAAGGGCCAAGAATTACTTTAGAATTGTGGGCTGAGGGCATGCTAGTCCTTCTGAAGGATTGTGCTAGAGCTCAGAACAAAGGTAAACACAGTTAAATCTTTCCCAAGGCCATTATTTCTGGAAAAATCATTGAATTAAATAGTCATAATTGAGAATGAATCAATTTCAGTAAATAAACAATAAGTACTTATTTATAGCCCAGGCAGTGAGGACAGAAATGAGGTCTTATGCTATGAAATACTTGTTGAGTAGGTTCTGAATTTCAGGTTGCTTTTACTTCTTCAGGGGTCTGTGATTTCTGTGTATTATAATATACACTTATTACCTCACATCATGAGTGTCTCCTAAGGAACATGATATGCCACTTTATGGAAAAAATATTTTTTTTCTCAAAGCTACATTGAAAAATGGACATTGATAATTTTAAAATATTGGTTCATTGAAGAAACTACATATTTAAGACAGTCTGGTGAATAATGTTTTCAAGTGAAGAATACTTTTATAAGATAAAATAAATGATAATTACAGCTAGCTAATATTTCTTTTGTATTATATACTAGGAAACATTATAAGTATTTTTTGCATATTAATTCATTTATTTCTCCAATAATTTATGAAGTAGTTATTATTATCTACATTCATAGATGAGAAAGCCTCATTTTAATGATGATTATATATATATACATATATAATAGATATATACACAAATAAGCTTAAAACTCCATTATTATATAGTATAAATTTTAATTTTATATACAAATATGTATTACATATGATGTCATAAAGCTAAGACATATGTACATATGAATAGGGGTGTGTTTCACCAACATGTATAAATGAGTTTTTATTCCATGCTGTTGGTACACAGGTGAGTGTTATGGTCTGGATCTGGAATGTTCCTCAGTTAGAGACACTGCAGCAGTGTGCAGAGTTGGGGCTTTGGCTGGATCCTGAGGCCTGAAACCTCACCAATGGCTCAACCCATTTGCTGGATTAATAATTTGAATGGACTACTGGGTGGTAACTGTAGGCAGTGGGGCATGGTGGAGGGAAGTAGGTAACTGGGTGGGGGTGCCTTTGGGGACTATACCTTGCCCCTTTTCATCTTCCTCCCCCCACCCTCCTTCATGGCTGCCATAAGCTGAGAGCTTTCCTTCACTGCACCTCTCTGCCATGACGTTCTGCTTTATCTCAGGCCCAAAGCAATGGAGCCAGCCAAACATGGACTGAAACCATGAGCCAAAATAAACCTTTCTTCCTCTGAATTGTTTGTGTCAGGTATTTTGGTCACAGCAGTGAACAGCAGACTAACACGGTACTGAAACTCTACTTCTGTGCCTTCACTCTTGAGAGACTGGGAGGTGATACTGTGGGTTGACCACAAATAGTATGTTTGGACTCTTTGGAGAGCATAGCAACCTTGAAGACTATTATCACCTAATTCTTTTTGTTTGACAAAACATCAACCCCATGAATAAAGGCTCAGAAGACAAGGGAGGGGAAGGTGGTTTTAGGTTTATGAAACATGCCAGCGCTTTTCAAGGTTTTTGAAGTCAATCAATAATCAGACTTGAGAGAGGGGTAGCATTATGGAGACAGCTAAGGGACTGGGGCTGACCTGGATCCAAAAAGCCAGGGAAGCGTTGGCTGCTTGTGACCAGACCTTGGTGTCAGTACCACCACTTGACCAAAATTTCTTCACTGTTAAATTGTAGTGAAATGTTTTGTTTACTACAAGAAATAATTTGAGGACTAAATTTGCCATTAAATCAAAGCATTTAGAAAAGTAAGAGTAGTATGCAAATACAAAGCATAGTTGTATCACAACTCTGAATAATCATTAGTATATATACTGTCATTGCCTATGCAGGGCTAACTTAAGGGCTTGTAGATCAACTGTCTTGCTTGGTGCACTATTTCTGTTATGTCATCACTTTCCTCTCAGAAAGCTTTTATATACCACATCATTTTCCTTTATCATCGTCCTATGAAGTCAGTAGTATTATCCCATTTACCAGTGAAGAAACTAAAACATAGACAAGGCAATATGGCCAAGGGTCCTCCCCACAACCATGCTCACAAACATTATGCTGCAATATCTCATACAAAGAAAATTCTATATTTAAAAACAAGGCATGTCACTGATCAATGAACAGATGAATCATTTTGAAACTTCAGTTTGGAAAAGTTCATTTTAGAGTACAGAATGGCAGGTGACATTCTCCAAATGTGATTTTTTTTTTTTTTTAGCCCAACTCTATAAAAAAAAATCTGAAACAACACAGGCAAGGGAAAAACAAAGCAGCACTTTTTTGTAACGATCATTGTGATATTAAAGATTTGAAGTCGAGTAAGGATCCAGGAAAGAGGTTATTGTCAGGGAAAGAGTTGATATTAAGAAAAATGCTCCAGAATTCTTAAGACGTGTGGTGTCTTTGTTACACAGCCCAAGGCCTCTGTGAACTATGATTTTCTTCATCAGTTCTTTTCCACTCCCATTGCTATCTCTGTATCTTCTCTGCTTTGCTTCCTTTCAACTTTGGGAATCGATCTGATATTTTAAGTCACTAATATGGGATCAATCCTGAAACATTGACTGGGTTCTCACTATCCTAGGAAGTCGTTGTGAGGGATTTGAGGACTCTGGTTCCGCTCAACCCTCATTTATTCACACCATGTACCAGGCGCTGGCCATGGTCCTGGGAATGTTGACCCCAAAGGACACAATCCTTCTTGACAAGCTCAGCCTGTTGAAAGGCTTAGTTCTGTCATTTATTCTTTCTACAATTATTGAACACCTATTATGTGCTAGTCACCTTTTTTTGCTGGGGATAAAGAGTGAAGATATATTTCGGTCCAATAAACATAGATATTAAATAACGACTCAATAATGTTCAGGGCTGTAATTCTTTAACACCAGTACTGAAATCTCAAATCTTTGTACCAAAAGTTCATTTGGAGCCAAACCAAAGAGAGGCTATTAATAGTCTTTTCTTATTGTGTGAATGTTCATATATTTTGATGAAAATGTGTTAATATATTTGATTGTGGGCTTGAATAGTGCTAAGCAATGCATGATTTATTCTCCATTACCTAATATCATAGTTTATTGGCAATCATATGAAAGAATTCTCAACTGACCCAGACAGTTTTGAAAAAAGGATTTTTATGTTTTATAGTGAATTAAATGCAATGAAGATTTAGAGGAAGGAGAGACAAACCAGTTTGGGTTGAAATAATCAGACACAACTTCCAGAGGCAGAATTAGAGCTTGATTTTTAGAAAGCAGAGTATTTGAAGGGACAAATAGTGGGTAGAGAGGGAAGTACCAACCAGGTGCAAATCCACTATTATAGAACCTGAAACTTACAAAATTTTAAGGGGCCTCTTCAAGAAAAAAGATAAAAAGATGAATATGGTTATGCAGAGAGAATTGGAAGCGTGTTTGCAAAGAAAGGACCCCAAAGTTTCATTAGTTTCTTCATAAATCCATTTTTGTTCAAGATCAATGGCATGGATAATTTATTTTATAAGTAGAATGTACTTGAAGATTTATAAATAATAAACATGTATGTTGCCATGTGGGGAAAGGAAAGGAGTTGGTTTCCAGTGTGTGTGTTACTCATCTCACTTTTTAGAATTGTTTGGGATTTTAAAATTTGACCACAAACACAAGTCAATGGATAAATAGTTTGTGTGGCTTTGAGAAAAGAGTCCAAATGATTTTTTTTAAGAATGAATCCAACTGTGAGTGTGTTTCAGAGTGTGAGGCTTTTATCAATTTTTCTCATGTTTGGTTCAGGAGGAAGTTTAAGGATTTGGCAGTCATAGGTTCTTTAATATAGATAAATGGAGAACTCTTCAAAGAAGAGAAGGATAAATAAAATGCAGCATTTTATTTTGAAGCTTACCTTTTTAA